CTTTTCGTGTTTATGATTAAACCTTCCCTGTTCTGAAGTCTTTGCATGGCTTCCCTGTGTGTTCAAGAATGTATTTTGAAATATTGCTGTCTGTTTATAAGAGCTTTGAGATGGTTTAGGAGAATCAGTACCCATTTCTGCCCTTTTTGTGCGCCGGGCGTTCTATGGATGAACTGCAGTCAGCTCAAGGTTTCAGGAGCTAAGATGAGGAGTTCGTTATTATGCTCCCAAAGTGTGTGGGAACAACTAGTAAACCTGCCGGTCCTCTGCAACTCGATACCGTACTTTTAAATCCAGGTCTGAAGACTTTTTCGTTTTTGCCGCTTTTTAGATTGACGTATTCAGTATCTTAAGTGCACTGTACTTTTATTCTGTATTTTTCTTTTAATGTTGATTTTTTATCTCTTGATTTTTAATGGAGTGATTTTAATGCCATTTTCTTAAATGTTTTTCATTTTTGTAAAGCACTTTGAATTGCCTTGTGTTGAAAGGTGCTATATAAATAAACGTGCCTTGCCTTGCCTAACACAGTAACAGTTGGACAGTGTGTTACTATGGAAACATGGAGTGTTCAGAGTAAAGCTGTCGGACGGTTTCTTGGGGACTTTATTAATAAATAACAAATACATTGTGTAGTTAAAGATGGATAGAGACGAGTGAATGTTCAACTTTTTGATAAGCTTTAATACTTCATCCATTATCAAAAGTGTTCCGCCTCCCCAGTAATCAATGAACTGACTCATCATGTCACCACTGGGATGAGTTCTTCCTTATGTCATTCATGCATTTACTTTGGGAAGAATTGGATTAAAAATACTGTCATTTATGTTATGATCCATATTAGTTTTCCCTGTAAAGACAAAGACAAAGACAAAGACAAAGACAAAGACAAAGACAAAGACAAAGACAAAGACACACACACACACACACACACACACACACACACACACACACACACACACACACACACACACACACACACACACACACACACACACACACACACACACAGTGTGCTATATTAGGTCTTTTAATGAAGACCCCACAGTATAACCCACCCCCCACTGTGATGCTGAGCAGATGCTAAGAGCAACAATTGTGATGCATTTTACCTGAATGAGTTTCTAACTGAAAAAAATGCTTCCAGTGTTTGTTCTCAGAGATCTGACTCAACGCAATTATTTATTTTGAAATGATCATGAATGCATTCGTTTGCATTTCACTGCATACCATGGAGAGAGCCAGAAAGACAGATATATGCATTAGCCTGTGGGTGTGTAGCTTTGATCACTGAGCCAGCAGAACACAGAAAATAATTGATTTGGTCCTGACTCTCACACAAACAAATGCTCAAACAGTCATTGTTATTTGACAGCTTCCTGCTAACAAATTAAGAAATCAAAAACCCATAACTCACTTGTTTGGGTTTTATCTTTTTTTCCCTATTATCGCTCAAAGGGCACTCCCATATATCTGCTGCCAAAACAATAATAATCCACAGAAAACAAATCAACAGTTTGATGATGAAGGAAATCTCAACATAAGGGAACACAGATGCTCCAGCAGCTTCCTCGTTTACAACCACCTGTGACAAACTCCATACTTTGGAGACAAAAGAAAACACGCAGGTTGACTCTTTTGAGATTTTTCTTAATGTGAATTATTAAGCAACAATGTCAGATTTGGACTGGATCCAGCTTCCAATGGTCGGAATCAGTAATCTCTTCATTTTTAATATGATTCTAAGTTGAATGTCTTTTGTGTTGGAGTGTTTTGTTGGACAAAAAAAAGCTTTTTTTTTGACATTTCAAGGATCAAACGGAAAAAAATGTCACCCTACATGAATCCCTTGGTTTGCATTGTGTGTTTCCACCGACCTTTGATGGGCGGCTTGACTTCTCCGTTCTCCATCTTGAGTTCGTTGATCACTTTGTGCTTCTTCTTCTTCTCCCTCTCTCGGTCTTTGACCTTCTTCTTCTCCCTCTCCTCTCGGTCTCTCTCTTTTGCCTTGTCCTTGTTGGAGTGCTCTGTGGAAGCAGAGGGGATGTTTTCAGGTCTCTTAGGTTAGCATTAGCGCCCAGATTGGCTCACTACACACATACTTCACTTGTTTGAGAGTACTTCATTTGTTTTCTCCCGCCCCTTGACTAAACTCTTGCCAAGTGTTTCACCTTGGCCATCATCCTTTCCCTAATGGTATTGCTCTTCCTCCTACAAACGGTTTGGCTTTTCTCTCCCTGGTGCAACACATCCATGTCTCCACGATGCCTTTAGTTTTATCTCTCTCCTTTCCTCAGCACTGTAATGGTCTACCAATTCCCTTTAAGACTCTGCAACTTCACACACAGCCATAAAGCTAATCAAAATATCCTGCACGTTTCCTCCACCTTACTCTCCCTGTCTTATTTCCTCTGCTAGTGTCAACTTATTTTATTTCCTCTTCCCGGCGCTTCTCCCTCTGACAGAATCATTTCAGTGTTGAGGGAATATGTGCAGATCAAGGCATTGGAGTGCACTCTCAGGTTGCACTCATTGCAAATGGCTGTGGATGAGAGCAGCAGTTTAAAATGTGAATATCAGCCATCACACGTACCCCGTGGATGGGAGTAAATCATCTCTCCTCCAGCACAAGCTAAGAAAGAGTTCATTGCTTTTTAAAATATAATCTTGAAACATTGCAGAGAATTTCCTGATTCCAATAGATTTAGTTTTTATTCTTAGGGTTTCTGACATTTCCCCCTGTTAGGTACTTAGCTGTGTTTGTATGTGTTCTTTGCAACACTTCATAACTTTGTTAAGAAAAGTCCTGTAAAAATAAAGATAATATTTCTTAAAATAACTAAATTCTTATATATATATCTTCTCCTTTGATTCTTTATTTCCTTTCATATCCACATAAAGAAAGAACAACTTCTTATTTTCACCACAGTAGTTCTTCTGCTTATTCTTTCTTTTCTTTGAACTCAGTCAGATCAGCATTTAAAAGGAAGCTGTGTTTGGAGACTGTTCTCTCTCCTGTGGTCATGGGGAGTGGGAGAGTGAACCCAGTGGGGTTGGACTGGCTGTCTGCAGGATCAAAGGAGAACATTCTTTGAAAGTCAAAAAGGCTTAAAGGAGCAGTCGGAGAATCAGAGGTGCATCGATACACTCCTTTTGAATGACTATATTTCAATCAAAACCATGGCGTTGTGAACTTAAGTAGGTCGCTTGGGTTTGCTACTGAACATGCAGGAAGTCATTATCCTCATACCTTGTGGTTAACAAACGGAAGGCAAACATTTTTAACAAAGCGTTTTAAGAAGTGCTGCAAAATGACTAGACACTGTAAGCTGCCTGTTAAAGAAGAAACGGCATGTTTCAAAACATCCATTTAGCTCTACTACAGGAAGCCGCCCACAAAGGAGGTTTCACTCAGATCTAATGCCAGATATATGAAAACATGTCCGACCATGCCAGAGCAGCAGCATTCATAAACTTTTAATTAAGACGCAATAGGAGATAAATTAGCCCAGGTGGCTGACTGGGTCTTAAACAAACTGGAATATGTGCTAATTTATCACAGCTTGAGAAGAGGGGCTCTCCCTTTAAAGTCAAAAAGGACACCAGTGAATTGCTTGAGGTTCACACGTTTTAAACTGGTGTGAAGCTTCACAGTGTTGATGTGTCATGGGAATATATCACAAAGCTAGAGGTGCAAGTGAATCCGAAATTAATGGGATCCATGAAACTTCTCAGTTTTTTTCTGAGCTTGTTTTCAGGCTTCTTTGCAGCAGCCGGGTTCTGAAGGGGAACACAGCAGGTGGTTTTCACTGTTAGGATGATCACAGAGAAGAAAATACTTTGAAACATAGAGGGCCAGAGGCAGACGGTTTGTTAACGTCAACTACGCAAGTCCCCACTGCCATCCAACTTTTAGAGCTGTGGAGGACAATCATTAATGCATGAAGTCAAAGGGGGGTTTCAGATTTACATTTTGACAACAACAGTAGTATCTTCAATTCACTTGCCCTAAAATAACCTTTATTATTGTTACATTACAGTGTTACATATTATAGTGTTACATTTATCTGTAAAAAGCATAGATTTATTTTGGCTAGCTAGTGTGTGTGTTAGTGCTGCCAGTTGTTCTTTTTCACTTAAATCTTTCATCTATTTTTAATCCGATCAAACAATAGATGAAAGAATTCCATTAAATGTGCAAGTGTTAACGATAATCATACAACGGTTTCGTTGTCCTTTCATATTATTTTCATATTCTGAGAATCTAATGAGTTTTTATTACTAAATCTAATAAACAAGCAGAATCAAGCTAAATGTGTGTCCTAGTATTTTGTTGAGGAATCTGAGGGCTTCAAGGATTAGACATCACAGCTAAAGGAGAAGCTATGTGCACAAAATGCTCGATATCATTTCTGCAAATAGAATGACTCACGGTGGCAAACAGACAGAAAAAAGGTGAAAGCCACCCAGGCCTATGATGTGAAGGTACACATTAAAGAGGGAAAACTGTAACATTAAAACACTGCAGTGAGACACCAGAGTGAAGGCGATATATCAGTGTTGTAGGACTCCCTGCCACACTACAGGTAAACCGGCCCACCAGCACCCTCCTAAAGTCCAGATGTGCATCCTGCTACGTGGCAAATCCATGCTTCACAATTCAAGCTGATCTCAAAATGTAAATTGCTGTTCATTCACTCTTTGTCAGTCTCTTTAACGGTCTTGTAATGCTTTGGTCTGAATAAATGACCCTGCAGACAGTTAGTTAATTGGAGGCTGATTGCGGCCACGCTTGATTTTCTCTTTTCCTGTCGCTGTACGAGGACAGGGATTCTTTCAGCATGCTGCATTAGCATTCACACAAAAACCTAATTACTGCAGACATGATTCACAACAGTCCCAGTCTCCCTGGTTTACATGCATTGTTTAATGGTCAGAACAATGTCCAACAGAGCTCCAATGCATAGTCAATAGACAGATAATTGTTTAGTTGTTAAAGCAATTTTGCATTGAAAAAAAAAAGCAGATGTACCCATATTAGGTCGACTAAAGGCCATTAGGAGATAATTAGGAAATTGATAGCCATCACAGGTACTCACTAGTTTGTAAGTTGATGTGTTTAAAGATCAGCCACATGAAAGTGCATATTACAATTTACAAAAGTACAGGACCCATCACACCAATAGCCATATAACTGTTTGCATCAGCTTTAATCTATATAGCACATGTGACTAGGGATGCATATCGTTGACTTTTTTACGATACCGATACCATTGAACGATACCGATACTCAACCGATACATATCGTGATACTTTGAAAATGTATCATCCCACAATTACTCCCATGAAGCTCTTTACAATATAGTTAACATGTCAAATGAATATTAAATTCAATTGTGGGACTTCTTGGACCTTTTAGTACTGAACAAACAATGAAAAATACATAAAAAATATGAAGAAAACCGATTATGTAATATCTTTTATAACACCCGCCATCAGGTGGGCCACGTGAATAGCACATCTTGTCAATGCAAACAGACCGTTATAGCACCGTTATAATTCATGTTAAACCTGAGATTCGACTAAAGAACAAATAAATAATAGAATAATGGTCATGAGATCTCGGCATTGCACAAACAAACAAATCTCATCTTTAAAATCAACATTTGCCTTCACTGGTGAGAGAAACAAAATCCCATCACAGTTCATTTGTGGGACTTACCTTTCTAGTGTTGAACAAACAATAGAAAAATAACATAAAATATGAAGAAAAAAATTATGCAATCTAATTTATAACACCCACCATCACGGGCCACGGACTCTACTTTTAAAATTAAATTTAAAATATATATATATATATATATTTTTTTTTAAAGTATCGAAATCGGATCTAATTTCGGTACGGTATACCGTAGCCACCAGTAACCGGTATTTCGGTAATACCGGTATGCATCCCTACATGTGACACATCAAAACATCTACAGTGGCCAGGCAGACAGAAGAGTTTAATTAGTTCAGCCTTTTTATTCAGTTATGATTGATCTGGATCAAACCTAAATGTGAGTAGGAGTATCTTTAGAGCTGCATCTGGTTTTACTTATAATATCCGACTGCATGTAAATGGGTGTCAACAACAGGTCTTAGTGGTCCTCAAAGTTTTCTGGCTCTCCAAAATCGAGGTTCTTTCCAGGCCAACAACCGGGCTGAGTATGCTAAACTAGTGAGAGAATTGCTGGCAACTACAACAAAATTAACATATTTTACCATGATTTAATCGTAATACACGTTTCAAAATGATGCCGAAGTAACAACATACTGATACCGGTTTGTAAAAACCATGAATTAATGCTTTGACAAGTCTACAGACAAGACGGCAGGCGAAAAACCTTTTAAAATGTGTGTTTTCTGAATGGAGATCGGCTAAGCTAACGTTGCTCCGACCGTCCACACTCACAACAACGGCCTATACAGACATAAATAAACCAGAGACTGTATTCACCATGACACAGACAGTCTGTGGTTTGTACGTCTTTAACTTCTGTCTAGTTTCTGAACAGATATGAGGAGCTGTGAGCTCTGAGTGCTAACAGCTAACGGCTGATGTTGGTTTTGTGGTTCGCATTGAAGATGACGTCACGGCTCCGCCTAAACTGCGTTAGTATAGGTACTGCCCCAGCTACTAAACTGTAATGGTAACGCAGCATAAAGTGAGCCTGGCCTACCAAGGCCTAACTATACCGTACTGAGCCGTGCAAGGCCCTGCAGTGGAAATGCGCCATTAGAGTTAAACAATTATTTATTTCACACAAGATCAGCTGACCTAATGCTGTAATGATTCCTCGTTCAATGCACTTACTCCAGTGTCTCTAATTTCTAGACCAGATGTATGTAACCAGGAGTCGTGGCAGTATCATTAACCCTCGCTCCGACAGCAAACCAAACAGTAATAATAATAATAATAATACTGTGGCTGCGTGATCCTCTTTTGATCCCTGCAGGAAAATGTCTTGCCTTCCAGGAAGGTCAGAGCACAGTCAGCTTCAGAGCAGGAAATGTCCTCCTGTTGGACAGCAGTCTGTCTAACAAGTGAAAATATATTAGAAAAACAATATTTAAATTGTGTTTTTTCGCAATCCCCTCAAGTCTATGCTGACAGCAGCTGTGTGACAGAGAGAAGGACAAGGACTGACACACTGTAACAGCTTTAACAGGAAGCTGGAGCATTTTAATCCTTTTGCCTAGGATTAATTTTCCAGCAACACTCTGCAATATTCATATACTTCCTCATCTTCACATTTGAAGCTACTCAATATAATGACAGTCTGGCCATTGAGCAGAACCCAACAGCAATTACAGGCTCAGGACTTTGCTCAAGAGCACCTCAGTGGGTGCTTTTATTTATGGTTACTTATGATCACATTTGATCAGGTTTAGGGCTGCACAATATGAGGAAAATATGCGATGTTAAATATCACAATATAGATATTACAAATATATAAATAAATAGATATTAAAATGTACACAGTTGTTACTTTCTGCTTCTTTCAGATTACTGTTGCATATTTCTTGTTAATTAAAAAACAATAAGGAAATTATTTCCAACATGTGTATTGAACACAAAAGGCACAAACAAACAAGTATAACGGATTAAATATTAAGTTCAGTTTTCTACTTATATGCTCTTAAAACTACCCAAAAAATCTGCATGTATATAAGTTGTTCAATTAACATAATACATTCAATAACACTACACTGACTTTTTGTGTAATAATTGGTAAATAAAGGTTTATTTACTCAGTTAAGAACATTGTTTATTTAAAAGTTACATTATTTTTTTTAATCCCATTTCTGTTCCAGTTCTATGTGGAGACCAACCCCATCCTCCCTGTTCTGAAATGCAGATAAAGCGTGCACACACATCCAACACAGGCAATTTACACTATTTCTGATGGGTTGTTTTGGCACTTCTGGTGTTCTCCGTGTCTGCAAAGGCTGCTCAGTCATGACCTGTCAACCTACCCAACTGGAAAAAGGAGACATCATGCACTCACATACATTTGCATTTGTCCCCTTGGTACACCTGCTAGTGTCTAAACACACACACGCAGAGAGTTGAGACACTGTGACGTGACGATGAGAAAACACGCAACAAAACACAAGGTCTACAGTGATTAAACATAAAGTAGTAGCTTCAGCGCTGTGACATAATCAGTCATTAGCATATTTCATCATGTAAAAAGAAACATAGCCTAGATATTTAGCAAAACATATGTTTAAAAATAAATAAGTAGTTGGACAATTTACGGTATTGTATTTAAGATATCATAATATTGTAGTTTGTTACCAACTGTTTGTGTTGTGATTATTGTTTTCTTGCCATTTAGGCTATTTCACTGACAATTGTACCCGAGCTAAAATATTTATATTGTTTTCCTTCTGTCATAACAGCTCATAATTGTGGTCCTACATGACTCTCATCATACTACTTCCCTGATGGCTCCCACAGGATTGTTGACATCCTCGAGGATTCATCTTCTTATTGTAGACACATGCATTTCCAAACATTTGGTCTACCCTGTAAAATGTATTATCTCTTCGATTTACACACGGCATCTATTGCACGTCTGTCCGTCCTGGGAGAGGGATCCCTCCTCTGTTGCTCTCCCTGAGGTTTCTCCCATGTTCCCCTTTAAACTGTGGGGTTTTCTCTGAAAGTTTTTCCTTGTACGATGAGATGGTCAAAGGACAGAGGGTGTCGTATTGTCATAGTGATATTCTGTACAAACTGTGAAGACCACTGAGACAAATGTAACATTTGTGATATTGGGCTATATAAATAAACATTGTTTGATAATTGCTAGTGTCAATCGTATCCAAGTGTAATGACTCAAGTGAAATAATAAAGGTTGTTCAATTGTAAAACAAATTGATGTAGGTGTGGATCAATGAACAGCCTACACCATGATCTGCGTATAGAACATGGAGTAACAGCCTCACTCGACAGCAACAACAAGCGGGGAGCTGTGCTTCCAGCCTGAGGTTACCGAGGGGGGCGTGGTGCTCTACCAAAACAACACTTACCCCATAATGGCGGGCGACTGTCATATTGTTATGACAGCAGCGTGCAGTTTAGTGCACACACACTACTCCTTAGGTAATACAAATATATAAATGCATTGATATTACAGAATAACAATTTACTTAATTGTTACGCTGACATGACGGATTATAGTTTTTGTACGCCGTTTATAAACAGCTTACTCGACTACATTACCATAGTAATAAAACAGTATACATATTTTTCGACAATATATGACGTAAAAAGGTAACAATTCCTCTGCAGCACCAGAGCAGCTGGTTGCGATGCAACAGCCCGGTCTTGCGACTACTGCCCTGAAACGCCGTTGTGGAGCTCGAAGGTTCACGAGCGGGTGAACAAGCGACGAGAGCTGGCAGCCATGTCCCGCAGAAACACCGACTAAACTGGGCTTATACACGCCCAACTCCATGTAAACCTGTTTTATAATATGCATTTATAATATAGGGAAACCGTTGAGAATGTTACGGGTCCAAAGACAACATTTAGGAGCGCTCTTTAAGCGGTAGCTTATTCAAAAACGGGACAAATTATGAGGCAGACAACCGCACTCTCAGAGCCACATGTTCATGCCCCAAGTGGATGATTCTACGATGAGCCAAGTCACTACAAAGCACCACAGATCAACCCTACATATAATAATCACAACTTTAGGAATTCCTTTCAAATATAACTAAAATAAAATACACTGCTGGCCTACCTTCGGGTGCCAACATGACCTCCCCATTTTCTCGTTTCACAGCAGAAGTGGTGTTAATTCTGCTGATTTCGTTGTTGTTGTTATTATTAACATTATCCCCGGGTCCGGAGGTCACCAGTACTTTAGTTCTCTTCTTCTCCTCTCCGCCTCCTGCCCCCTTCTCCCTCTCTTTCTCGCGCTGTTTATCTTTACTGGGGTTTTTGTGTTTGGAGGAGGAAGGCGCTTTGTGGAGGAAGAAGTCGCTCTGTTTAAAGACTTTCTGCGTGTTTGTCGGTAGCTGGTGCCCACTGGTAGCAGGCACCGAAGGGTTGTTGCTACTCGTCTTAACCGGGCTGAAGCTCCACAAGCCCGCCCCATAAATCTGCTGCTTATTGGGCTGCTGGAGTTTCTCTCTGCCGTTGCCTCCCACTCCTGCTTCCCGGCTGAGTTTCTTGGGTTTAACGCTCCTCTCCTCCAGCCGGACCTTCTTGGGCAGCGGCGGGTTGAAATCCCGGGAAGACTGAAGGCGGTTGTCAGGGGCTCCCTTTGCCTCGGTCGGCTTGACCAGAGGGCTTTTGGCGGAGGCGACCGCCGGGGCTACCGCAGTAGCAGCTCCGGTGAGGTAAGCGGAGCACAGCGAGTCAGCCATCTTGAGGCTTCTCTCTCTATTTACTCTCTTCCCCAACGGCCGCCGCTGCTGTTTTTTTTTGCGCGACGTGCAGGCAGGCAGTGAAGGGGCGGGGCAGAGTTTGATGGACAGGTGGTTAGCGAGGGGCGGGACTAATCTTGACTGACAGACAGAGCATGAGACAGAGAGGGAAAAACTAAAGGCGGAGCTTACCTTTAATGTGTTCTCTGAAAAAGAATCAGGAGCATTAAAGTGAACATCAACACCAACAAGCATTATGAGAAATATAACTTACTCTGGTAGCTACCAACTACACTCCTCAAAGTGGTTGCTTTAATGTCTTTAAATATCTGGAGAAAACTGTTATATCCACTGATGAAATCAGATGGAATCATAACAAATGTGTTAAAGGAGGCATGAAATGAAACAGCTGTTCTTCGGAATTATTGGGAAGTTTTGTACGTCATGTTGTTTAATTTTGTACTAAGCTATCTTGGCCACTCTATGGTGTAATAATATTTTTGGTGGGACCTTCTTCTAAAATAAAGGTTACATAATAAAACACATTAAAATAACACTTGTGATTAATATTATATTGTAAGCATTATTTACCAACCAAGTATTTGTAATACATATTTAGATAATTAGGCAAACAAGTTATGGTTTACTCAGAAATCTACAATACATAAGATTATAATTATTCAGTTTATTAATTTGCAATTACTAAATTATTATTTGGATTTAGATAGTTTTTACATATTTGTCACAACTGACTGAAAGTGCCTGTAGAGAACTTTGGTGTTGGTGATATGTGTGTTTGATAAAGTGAAAATGTTCTAAGGAATAACGTTCCCTTTTTCATCTAATCTTCAAAACGTAATTAGTTAATCACTCACTCATCATTACAGATTTATCTGCATTTAAAAACGATTCTACACTAAGACTGATTAAAGTGACAGCAAACTGTGTGTGTGTGTGTGTGTGTGTGTGTGTGTGTGTGTGTGTGTGTGTGTGTGTGTGTGTGTGGTAACCACACAACAAGTACACTGTGAAGGGTGTGTGTATCCATTTCTACCAGCATCTACTGTATATGACTCATGTACCTAAAAATAGGATGCATTATAATGTTTATTCTAGGTTTTAAAACAGAGCTGACACACTTGTCAGTTCCTTCAGATGGTGTAGCCTGCTGCTCCTGCTCACACACTGAACGGCTATATTTATAAGTAATTACACAACATGTTAAACTGCTCCATGGGAAAACTGAGGTGACCCAGTTAAGATGGCAATCTGGCTTAATGCATACAACATGCAGATAGGGAAAGTGTGTGTGTGTGTCAGACTGTGTATTCAACACATCGATCACCAGGTGTGTAAGTCACAAAAAAGTAGTAAAGTAAAGGAGAGAAAGTTAGCAGGAGTGGTGTTAGGCCTGTGGAATACATGGATGGATCCTGCCTTATAATGTAGAATAAAAAATATTTAATTGTCTTTAGCTGTATTAGTTTTGTGCTGTATCTGTACTTTTCTAGATTTGAAACATGTTAGATACTTCCATCAAGTAATCTTTCTAGGACGTGTATATCTTGTATGCATTGATATACATCCTGCCTAAAAAGACTTAATTTGACTCCTTTTTACTTCCTGAACATAGTGACATCCCTATGTAACACTCAAACTTCTATTGGTTAGCTCTAAAGGCCCTGACACACCAGGCCAAAATCGGCCGTTTTCGTTCGTCGGACGACGAAGCGTGCCCTGTCGCCCAAACTCAATTTGGTGTGTCCCTTACCGTCGGCCGTGACACGCCTTATTTGGCCTTCATGGCCGACGCAAGGCTGATTCAACATGTTGAATCGGCCGTGCGTCGGCCACAGGCAGTCGGACAAAGAAATCACTCTGATTGGCTGTGCAGCTAGCGAATCAGTGCATGAGAAGCGAAACGGCTTGAGAATGTCTTCCACAAGCAACACTCCGATGGCTGATAGCTCCAGTACCGCACAAAACGTGTTTTCGATGGACGAGAGTGAAAATGGAACGCACACGCTACTTTTTGTTTGTTTATATCACGTAGTCTGTTCGTCTTCTGTCTTCCGGTTGTTGCCTGTTTTTAATGACGAATACACACTACCGCCGCCTGCTAGTAAGGAGAGTTATTGCCACTCACGCATGCGCAGTTCGTACGTACTCGGCTGAAGTCTTTGCGGTGTGTTCCAGTGCCATGGCCAAGACGCAGGAGAACACGCCGACGCAACAGTCGGCGTCGGCATCGGCGAGTTCTCTGGTGACTGCTTGGTGTCTGTCAGGGGTGGGACATCTCTCTCACAACAGAGCCGGCCAGCTAACCAATCAGACTGGGCTCTGGTTTCAGACAGAGGGTGAAAAGAGGGGCTGCAGCACAGGCAGTATGAGAAAAATAAAGAGCTTTTTGAACATTAAGCATGGAGACATGTCCCAGAGACACTAAACAAGGATATGAACCTGAACATGAGCATTGTAGGACCCCTAACAAGTTTTTTGTAGATGTCATTGCTGTAACGCGTGAGAGGAGCAGACAAAACCTGCTCTGCGCACCTATACCTTTAAATATTGTATGGTATTAACTTATAAATTAATCTACAAATGAGAGCCTGTGAGCAGAAAGTAAATAATCCAGTATCCATTCCTAAACCAGGTGGGCTTGTGCCTCTGTGTTTAAAGTGAATACAAATATGCAAGCTACATGTATCTGTGTAAAACAGTTAGGCGCCTGTGGTTTTTTAACACCTTGCTGGGACTAAGTTAATCAGTGCATCACTGGTGGGGGTGTCGTGTATACTTTTGTCTCTGGCAGAATTACCACACACACACACACACACAGCACACACAACACACACACACACACACACACCACACACAGCACACACACACACACAACACACAGCACCACACAACACAGCACACACACACACAGCACACACACAGCACACACACACACACACACACACACACAGCAAGCACACCACACAACACAGCAGCAGCACACAACACACACACACACACACAGCACACGCAAAACTAAGGCTAAATAAATACAATAAGCATATTTACAATGCTAGTCAAAATTAACTTTGTGTTTGATTTCTATTGACTTGGCTCTGCTTTTAATTTATTCTAACTATTTAAATTGTTTGTGTACTTAGGCACTTGCCTATTACCTTGTTGTCTGAAATGTGCTTTATAAAGCTTGTAAATAAAAGCTGTCTGTATTTCCACTCACAGCAACACATTTTTTGTTACATGCATCTCCACAGCAAATAACAAAGAGTCTTCAGCTTATGGTCAGGGTTTAAGCTGTTGATTTCTTGCAAGCATACAAAACATTTTGGGCTGTGTGTGTTTATGTGTGTTGTAAGGAGGGTCACCGAAAAGTGTGTGTGTGGGGCTGACAGAGTCCACAGGAGGCCGTGAGCAAGCGTAGCGATCAAATCGCTCAACCCCAGCGCTAAAATGATGATTGGACGAGAGGGGAAGAAGGGTGAGGCGGCCTCTCTTCTTAAAGGCACAGGTGGGGCTCTTTTCTTGAGATAGCATGTGCATGTGAGCGGGTTCAGGTGGGAGCATACAAAGAGAGAAATGTGGACAAACAAAGTTTTGTTAAAAAGGTTTTCTTTCTCAACACTTCATACATTCAGTCTTACTGGCAGCTTTGAACCACTGAAAGCAAGTCGCATTATTTCAAT